AGATGGCAGTCTCCCCATTATAATTATGGCCTCAGAAACCCAACAGAGGGTAAGGAGTCAGAATCGAATCAATAAAAATGATTTTAAGAACTAAGCCTAGTAACACTGCCACCAACTCACTCTCCCTTTGTTCTAGATCCTACCTACCACTAACTTCCTCTGAAACCCTGGGCAAAACACTTCCCCTTCACTGGCTGACTGTCCTCAACTATTCTAAGTGTAAAATCCTAAAGAATTTTTTTTTAACTGCAGCTTTCAACATCTGCCATGTTTACTTGGCAGAGTACTTGGCAGGGTCAAAGGGAAAAAGATAGAACAGTACTTTATAAAGTAGAAATGACAATAAATATAAGCTGCTGGCTTTTAGGGTTTGGCTTTGGTTTTTATTTTATCACTTATTTATTGTAGTTTGTATGAAAGTTTCCACTCAACAACTGTAATATTTTCTTTTATAACATTAGTTCACCAAGTTGTGCCAAGAAATCTGGAGAACGATCACTTGGCCAACTGACTGGAAGAGATCGATATTTGTTCCTATGCCAAAGAAAGGCGACCCAACCGAATGTGGAAACTACAGAACAATTTCACTGATTTCACATGCAAGCAAGATTTTACTGAAGATGATCCAAAAATGACTGGAACAGCACATCAACAGAGAACTACCAGAAGTCCAGGCTGGTTTCAGAAGGGGTCGTGGTACTAGAGATATTGTAGCTGATGTTAGATGGCTCTTGGCTGAAAGCAGGGAATACCAGAGGAATGTCTATCTGTGTTTCATTGACTATGCAAAGGCATTTGACTGTGTAGATCATAACAAACTGTGGCTGACTCTGAGAAGAATGGGAATCCCAGAACACTTGATCGTTCTAATGCGAAACTTATACTTGGACCAGGAGGCAGTCGTCAGAACACAGCAAGGGAACACTGCATGGTTCAAAATTGGGAAGGGCGTACATCAGGGATGCATCCTATCTCCATACCTTTTCAACCTATATGCAGAACAGATTATCCGATCCGAGAGGCTGAGCTCTATGAGGAGAAATGTGGGGTCAAGATTGGTGGACGATTTATCAACAATCTGCGTTATGCGGATGACACAACCCTGCTTGCTGAAACTGAGGAGGACCTGAAGCGCTTGCTGCAGAAAGTCAAGGACTGCAGCCTCCAATATGGTTTGAGGCTCAATGTCAAGAAGACAAAGATTCTCACCACTGGACCAATCGGCAGCATCAGGATGGATGGTGAAGAGATTGAGATTGTACACAGCTTTAGTTTGCTTGGCTCCATAGTCAACAGTCTTGGCACCAGCAGCCAGGAAATTAAAAGGCGCATTGCCATGGGAACGTCTGCTGTTAGGGACCTCTCCAAAGTGCTGAAGAGCAGTGGTGTCTCTCTGGAGACTAAGGTGCATCTGATACAGGCCATGGTCTTTGCAATCACCTGTTATGCATCAGAGAGTTGGACAATGACCAAGGAGGATAGAAGGAGAATTGATGCCTTTGAGCTGTGGTGCTGGAGAAGAGTATTGAGAATACCATGGACTGCTAGGAAAACAAACAGATTTGTCCTGGAGAGGGTTAAACCGGGTGGCTCCTTGGAGGCAAGGATTCTGAGGCTCCATCTAACTTACTTTGGACATGTTGTGAGGAGAGACTGGTCCTTAGAGAGGGACATCATGCTTGGGAGGGTGGAGGGACGGCGCAGGAGAGGAAGGCCCTCTATGAGGTGGATTGATTCAGTGACTGGGATAATTGGGATGGGAGTGTCAGAGACAGTGCGACTGGCACAGGACAGAGCGGAGTTTAGGGCTGTTGTGCATAGGGTCGCTATGAGTCGCAGGCGACTCGATGGCACATAACAACAACAACAACATTAGTTGCCATGTACTCACTCTAACAACACTCTTTCCTCTTCCTCTCTGGGCTCCCTCACTCCTCATTCATTTCATATCTATTCTTCCTTCTTTCCTGCTTTATGAGATTTGTTTAGATTGTCCTTATAGTCTCAGTTGGTTAATTGCTCTGGGAATCCCAGAACACTTGATCGTGCTTATGCGAAACCTATATATGGACCAGGGGGCAGTTGTCAGAACAGAGCAAGGGAACACTGCATGGTTCAAAATTGCCAAGGAATGTGTTCTATCTCCATACCTTTTCAATCTATATGCAGAACCTGTATGAGGAGAAATGTGGCATCAGTATTGGAGGAAGATTCATCAACAATCTGCGTTATGCAGATGACACAACCCTGCTTGCTGAAACTGAGGAGGACTTGAAGCACTTGCTGCAGAAGGTCAAGGACTGCAGCCTTCAAAATGGATTGACACTCATTATCAAGAAAACAAAGATTCTCACCACTGAGCAAATTGGCAGCATCATGATGGATGGTGAAGAGATTGAGATTGTAAACAGCGTTAGTTTGTTTGGCTCCATAATCAATACACTTGACACCAGCAGCCAGGAAATTAAAAGATATATTGCACTGGGGAAAGGCTGCTGTCAGAGACCTCTCCAGAGTACTGAAGAACAATGATGTCAGTCTGGAGTCTAACATGTGCCTGCTATAGGCCAGGGTGTTTGCAATCACTTGCTATGCATCAGAGATCAATGACTAGGGATGATAGAAGGAGAATTGATGCTTTTGAGCTGTGGTGTTGGAGAAGAGTATTGAATATAAGCGAATGAATAGGTTCGTCCTGGAGAGGGTTAAAACCAGGCTGCTCCTTGAAGGCAAGGATTCTGAAGCTTCATCTGACATACATTGGACATGTTACAAGGAGAGACCAGTCCTTGGAGAGAGACGTCATGCTTGGGAGGGTTGGAGGGGCAGTGCAGGCGAGGAAGACCCTCAATGAGATGGATTGATTCAGTAACTGGGATAACGAGGTTATGTGTCAGAGACTATAAGATTGGCACAGGATAGAGCAGGGTTTAAGGCTGTTGTACTATAAGTTGCAGGAGACTTGCCGGCACATAACAACAACATGTTATTGCTAATCTTTAGGCCTGCTATTTGTCTGAAAGGTTCTTCTCGGGGTCAAGTTCAGATCAAAGTTTGAAGGCTGCCTTGAGGATTCTACTGGTTAAGTTAGACCACTAAGTCTGGTCTTTTTTTTATGCTTTTGCAAAGTTTGCAGGGTGTTGCGTGGTGCCTCTCCAGCAGTTTGAATCTACCAGTCACTCCCTGGGAGAAAGATGAGTAATCTACTCTCATGAGTTTTACAGTCTAAAAACTCACTAGAGGGTCAGCTATGAGTCAGTTCTGACTCAAAAGCAATGAAAAGGACTTTGAGACTGTCTGTAGAATTGTATGAGTTTGAATAGACTTCTTGGGAAGAAGTTTGGTTTTGGGCTTTTAATAAAAATTTCCCATTTAGCAAAAGAAATAAATTATTATTCTCCAAGCCCTTTCCTTACTAATCCACAATCTCTGCTCTTGTACTCAGAGAGTGGTTATTTATCACCTTAGACTGGAATCTGTCCATTTATCAAAGAAAAAGAAATTATGCTTCTCAGAGTTGGGGTAAGCTTACTCTTAATACATTACTACATTCTGAAAAAGAAATAAGACTCTGACCTCAAGAGTTTTCATTGTCTATAAATGAACACACACACACACACACACACACACACACAGAGCGAGTGAGCAGTGGAGCCTATTACTGAGACTTCAGAAACTACCAGAGCATTTTCTCCTGTGTGACGTTTTAAATTAGATATCACAACTACAAGTCAGCACACCTGACTCCATGAAAGTCATCTCTTGTTCATAAGGGGAAATGGTACTCAACTTTCTGTCCATCAACAAACTATATTATTTTAGAAGTCATTGTCAAGGTGTTCTTTTTAAATGAGATTTGCTCACAGAACAAGACTAAATGTACTTGAGAGTCCTGGCTTTGAATGCTAGCTGAGCATGTATTTCCTTTTATCTGAAAAATGGGGATAGTAATGATCAGGTAAAGGTTGGATAAGTGGCAATAGGGTTGCATACCATGAGCTGGAGTTCACTCTACGTATCACTACCACCTACCTAGTAGAGACAGTGCAGTGAACCTGTTGTCATGAAATGAATTTAAATGCATTATGACCATCTTCATCAGTCCTCTGGTGATGTCAGCAGTTTGAATCCATTAAACTCAGTGGAAGAAAGATAATCACCTCCCATAAAGATTTACAGCCTTGGAAATGCAATGGACGGTCAAAAATTGATTGAATGACAATGGAGTGGGTTTGGAGGCCATTTCAGGTGGTGCTAGGAAACTTCTACTCTTTTTGTTATATCCAGAATGACACTCAGCCTCCCTGTGCCTCAAATACCTGTTAGAGGTATTTAAGGCATTTTCATCTCTTCACAGAAAGAAAAAAACCCCAAACAACCCCAAAACAAAAAACCTCCAAAGATACCATCAACTGCAGGGGAGGGGGAAAAAATAGGAGTCAAAGAGATCTTTATTTCTAACATTTACTGCATTAAATGGATAAACAACAAAAACACAATTAAAATGCCAGTGATGGAGACAGAATTGGGCTGTGCTTTGTCCTCTCCTTATGTATAAAGAGAAAGCTTCACGGTGCAGTGATTAACGCTTTTTGCTGTTAACCAAAAGGGCCGCAAAAGAGGACTATCCAGTAAGGAAAAGGTAAAACCATTGACCCCTTAAGGATCACAGCCTTGTAAACGCTATGGGTAGTCCACTCTGTCCTTCAAGGTCACTCTGAGTCAGAATTTGATCTCTGTGTATTTATAAAGGTTTCAAGACAGTCACTGAGGGTCTGTGTGACACGGCCGCGGCCTCTGCAGGACCTTACGGCACAGGAGGAGGCACCCAGTACAGGCTCACCCAAGGTCATCAGCCCTTTATCCCTTCAGCGCCTCCCAATAACTGACCCCCTTCGTGCCTGGGGTCCTCTCCCCCGACCTCTGCCCCCACCTCCCGCCCCGGCTCCCAGTGGCCACAGTACCCCCGCCCGGCTCTGGGGCGCAGCCGGGGTGCTCACGCTCAGTTCTGGCCGCAGCAGGCCATACTGTTCCGAGAGCCAGAAGCCGCGCCGGTCCTCCAACCTGATGAAGGGCTGATCGGGATAACGCTCTCGGTACTTGCGGAGGAAACCGCCCTCGAAGTCGGCCAGCACGCCGTCCATGTCTACGAGCACCCGCAGGGCGCGGCCACCCACTGCGCCCAACGCCCTTAGCCGCCCAGTCGGGGCCCCGTGGAGCAGCCGCAACCACAAGCCACTCTGTTGGATCATGACAGCGCGCGGAAGCTCGCAGCCAGGACCACAACCATAGCATATCTGAGTGGCGCGGGCCGGGGCGCGCAGGAGCCGGAAACAGCCCGGCTGCCGGCTGCCGTGGGTGCACCGGGCGGGCAGGAGATGGGTACGCGCTTAAAGAAACAGGCGCGCAGCGGACCTCCTGGATTGCTGAGGTCCTCCCTGTTTACTCGGGCTGAATTCCTCATGCCACTCCATCTGTGGTATGTGGAGAAGCTGTGAACCCCATAGAAAAAGACATAGATCTATATCTTTCAGAAAATGATTGCGTGTCTCTTGTGTGTCAGGTCCTAGGCATTTTAAGACACCAAAAGCAAAAATTAAAACAAAACCAAAGACTGCCTTTGGGTTGATCCCTATTCCTAGTGACCTTCCGTTGTATTTCCAAGGGTGTAAATCTTTACAGGAGTCTGTCCCTCTTTCTCACATAAATTCTAACTGCTGATCTTTTAACTGTTGTTATGTGCTGTGGAGTTCTGTTATGTGCTACAACTAATGTTGTCGTCGTTGTTATGTGCCTTCGAGTCGCTTGCAACTCATAGCGACCCTGTGTACAAGAGCCCTAAACACTGCTCTATCCTGTGCTATCCTTATTATCTCTGACACACCTACTCCCATTACCCCAGTTATCGGTCCATGTCATTGAGGGTCTTCCTCTCTTGTGCTTCCCACCACCCTCCCAAACATGATGTCCCTCCCCAAGCAACCCTATAAATAATAGATCTGAATCTGTTATTTATCACAGATCTGAATATACTATCTATCACAGGATACTGTGCTTTCTTCACCATCTCTGACACACTCAAGCCCATTGCTACAGTCTCTGTGCCAAGCCAGCTTATTGAGGGTCTTTCTTATTCTGACCTTTTAAGCATGATAGCCTTCTTTAAGGACTGGTCCCTGCTTACAGCATGCCTAAAGTATGTGATACAGAGTAGAAAGGAGTTGTGCTGCCAACTCATAAGCACACTGTTCAAATTCACCAGCTGCTCCAAGGAATCTCCTCCTGTGTGATTTACAACCTCTGAAAACCCTCTGGAGGGTCAGCTATGTGTCAGGATACCATCCACAATGAGGGCCTCTGCCTGATAGTAATTGTCTGTGGAAAGGTTGATGTTGTCATAGCATCACAAAACTTTAATACAATTTGCCATTTTCAAATAAGTATCAAGAAATATTGTGTGGACACTGTAGATCATGAAAAAAGTGCAGGACCAACTAGACTGCATGCAGTTAACAACAATATGAACATCTATTGCTTTATATTAAACAAACAACCCACAAATATAAAAAAGACAGATGACATTATTATTTGGGTCAAAATTAGTGAAATGAGGTGAATTTGAAGAGGAAAGAATGTTAGGGCAGCCCTTTCCTTTCC